CTGGCTAACCCCTTTATATATAAAAAAAAAAAGTTCTAATTGGTCTTTGCTACTGATAAAATTCTGATGAAACATTAGATTGGATTTCTACTTGTAGTTAGGCAGTAAAGATTTAACTTTATGTTTGTTATTTTTCAATAATCAATGACCTGGTATTGTGTTATTTACCTCATTTTCGTCCGTGAATGCAGCTGGTAAGCTCCCGAAGCATAATAATGTGTCCTGGAGGGRTAATTCCTGCACGCGGGATGGTGACGGTTCATCATCTCTCTTTAAGGATCTGTCTGGTGGCTTTTATGATGCTGGAGATGCAATTAAGTTCAACTTTCCTGCCTCTTTTGCCATGACCATGTTAAGTTGGAGTGTCATTGAATACAGTGCAAAATATGAAGCTGCTGGAGAGCTTAACCATGTCAAAGATATTATTAAGTGGGGGAGTGATTACTTCCTCAAGAGTTTTAACCATACTGCAGATTCTGTCAATACCATTGCTATGCAGGTACAAAAAAACTCTTACTTGTGTCATGTTGAATGAATGCTTTTTTTCGACTTCCTACATGACTTGGGTGCAATTCCTCTTGCAAATACGCTGAAGTAAATTATGAATGTGCCCCTAAATAAGAATTGTCTTTCCCTTCATGTGCAAGTTGTTGAATAATTCTTTTGTTGTTCAGCTATAATATTTATTTTTCCATCCATCATATGACAGGTCGGAGTGGGGGATACCTCTGGAGGAAATACAAGTCCTAATGATCATTATTGTTGGATGCGCCCAGAGGACATTGATTATGTACGACCTGTACAAACGTGCAGTAGTTGCTCGGATCTTGCTGCCGAAATGGCTGCTGCTTTAGCTTCAGCATCCATTGTTTTCAAAGATAACAAGGCATACTCACAGAAACTTGTCCACGGTGCCAGAACACTCTTCAAATTTGCCAGAGAGCAGAGAGGCCGATACAGTGCAGGTAATTCAGAAGCTGCAATCTTCTACAACTCAACTAGTTATTGGGATGAGTTTGTATGGGGTGGAGCTTGGTTGTATTATGCAACTGGGAATTCTAGTTATCTTCAACTTGCTACCACACCCGGCATTGCCAAACATGCGGGTGCTTTCTGGGGTGGTCCTGATTATGGAGTGTTGAGCTGGGACAACAAGCTTGCTGGTGCTCAGGTTAGTTCACGATTTCTCATTGCCCTCAATTACAAAACTTCCATTCTTAAATGTAACGTGGCATTTCTTTTAGATTCTTGCGATGAATTATGATGCATTTGCTTATTTTTGTAAATGTCGTGTTGTCGAGATTTCTCGTCACAATATTTAAGTGTGATCACCAGTTTTTTGCAATGAATTTGAATCATGAGTATTCGTTGGGAACTTTAATTAATATCTACGGAAACTCATACGTACCATGTATCAAATTATTGCTGAAACTAAATTCTACCATTTCTTGCAGGTTCTTCTTAGCCGTTTGCGATTGTTCTTGAGCCCTGGATATCCATACGAGGAAATATTGAGGACATTCCACAATCAAACTAGCATAGTCATGTGTTCCTACCTGCCCTTTTTCACAAAATTTAATCGAACTAGAGGTATGCCACTCCTCATCCTTGTTGGTAATTGAACTCTTTAACCTTGTAAACCATAATAGTTGTTACAATGTACTAATACATTTTACATTTTTCGCTGTCGTGTTGGGGTGATCTTATAGGAGGCCTAATTCAGCTAAATCATGGAAGGCCACAGCCTCTTCAGTACATTGTCAATGCAGCCTTTTTGGCCACCCTGTACAGTGATTACTTGGAAGCAGCAGATACACCTGGATGGTACTGTGGACCCAATTTCTATTCAACTGATGTTTTGCGCGACTTTGCCAAGACCCAGGTATTAATTACTTCCTTACAATTAAAAACTTTTTTCTTATGAATTATATTATTGGTTAAGTTTAGTTTGGTTCAACATGTTTAATTGTTAACCGAACCAATAAGTTCAATTGAACCGAATCTACTCGAGTATGGACTAGTTCGGTCAGGTTCATCAGTTTAGTTCGGTTTCTATACCCATAAATACACACTCAATTCAAGACTATTCTCTGGTATTCTGCAGATTGATTATATCCTTGGCAAAAACCCCCGTAAAATGAGCTACATCGTGGGTTTTGGAAATCATTACCCGAAACATGTGCATCATAGAGGTGCATCGATCCCAAAGAACAAGATCAAATATAACTGCAAAGGAGGATGGAAATGGAGGGACAGCACGAAACCTAACCCAAATACAATTGTTGGTGCCATGGTTGCTGGTCCTGACAAGCACGACAGGTTTCATGATGTTCGTACCAACTATAACTACACCGAGCCAACTCTAGCTGGAAATGCAGGCTTGGTTGCAGCGCTCATTGCTCTGTCAGGTGAAAAGACAACTGGAATTGACAAGAACACCATCTTCTCTGCAGTGCCTCCAATGTTCCCAACTCCACCACCACCTCCAGCACCTTGGAAACCTTGATCATATAACACACATTCTTCTGAAAGCATGTCGCCGTAAGTTGCAGAAAYGCTGTTGGTTGTGGTGATCGGATTTTGAAACGTCTGTCTGTCGAGGTGAAACTGAAGACTGTAGGGAAAGAATGTAAAACAATATTGCTTGGCAGAGAAACCACAAGCCAAATGATGGAGTTAACTATAAGGATTTTGGCTTTAGGGGAGGGTGTTTTTGATACCTGTTTTAATCCTTTATTCTGCAACTCTTGATTTGGAGTTTGTGATATAGTTAGTACATAATGTATTCTTTAAACACGAAAAAGCTGTAGAGGTGAAAGTGTTTGACAATAAGCTGCCATGGTTTCTTTGCAGGTGAAGTCTTTGCTTCTCTTTTTATAATTTTTCCTTCTTTCTGAAATGTGGGTTTGGCCATTGGTTTTCTGATTTTCTACAGTTGCCTACTGGGAAAGCCATTGCTGAGGAAGCAAGCAAATTCATGAATGCATGGTAGGTGTCACAATTGCACTTCACTACTTGGCTTTTAGGCAAGAAAATTATTTTTATACAGCGTGGGATCTTGCGTTCTTCAAAGTGGTGAGAAGTCACTTGCACTCAAAACTAATATATAAACAACAAACTACAAATTTAGTTATATTGTATCAATACATAATGAGTGAGGCCTCTTGGGCATGCAACCTTTGATGAGCATGACCACAACATTCTCTCTTACCTAGTTCATTGAAGTTCCCGATCGATGCTAAGTAAACTCGAGTCTTTGACTAAAATAACTCTACCCCTTCACCATGCTCCCAATTGATCTCGTCTAGGTGCCTTTTCCACCCTATCGAGCATGCCTGCCACTCTTATTTTGTAGGTAATCTCCCCGATGACTTCTTCGACTGCTCTATCTTCCCTCTTCACATCAATTGAGGATCTGCACACCTCATCTTCTAAGTCAGGATGGTAATGACTGAATGAATCTTCACTTTTTTATTTTTCAACTACAAACGAATCTTACATTTGCTTGACCAACCAGCATTTYGGAACCTTTTTCTCTAATTTCTCTAGCGAACTCAATATCAAATTGCACAAAGTTTYATAACACTGATTGACGACAACTCCTAATTGTAAGGYTCGTGATAATGGTAGAACTGTACTTYTATAATTATTCACCCAATATTGTCTCCCTTGAAACTTCAGAAAAACTTTTACCTCTCTTTACGTTATCAAGATGAACTGTTTCTTGTATTTTCTCTAATTTCACAAGAATTTTCTATATTCTGTTTCTTGTTCTTTGTGGAGAAAAAACGTGAGTTCTAATAAGGTCTAATCACAGCCCCACCAATGCTTTAGATCCCGGAAGAAAAAAAAGTTCACCCCTCCTGAAGCGATGATCTTGGTGCAGGCATTAAAAATCATCTATTGAATACACGATTTTGAAACTAGCCAACAGCTATCGTATTTTTCGAACTACTTTAGAAATCATCACAAAATTCTACATTCTTTTTCCCTTTCAAAGCAAATCCAGACTCTCACAAACCCATTTCTATTAACATGAACCCTTTCCTCCCACACTCTAAAGACCTGTTCGGAATGAAAAAGGAACAGAAAAAGGAAAACAATTTGCAAAATGAATAAATTTTAAGCCTGAAAACCTTTACAGAACAACTTAATTCAGTGGTGTTAGTGTTCAGAATCCTCTAGGTTATTTGTTAATTTTGCAGGAACTAATCTGCATCTTATCCAAGCGAGTTCACCAATATGGCAATCTAGATGGAAAACCAAATTACTTGTACCTTTCGGGTGAAAGATTCTCCACCTCGAAACTGCCAGGGTGAGAGGCAGAATATTTTCCATCATCTTGTGCCATTTGAAGCTTGCTCAGCGTCCTTTTTGCATAAACAGTGAAAATAATCGTAGTGATGATCGCGATGATGAAGGAGATGACATTATACACAATCTCTACCGTCGTCAGGTGATGTTTTCCATATTGGACGTCTGCTAGTGTCCTCATTAGCCGACCACTGCACCAAATTAAAGCCCGACATATTTAGCATATGTTTATGAGCGCATATAAGTCTAGGTACATATATCTCATTATGCAAAACAAGGTTCCGTTCATTTTCCAGAATGCACACAAGCATATGATGGGAGAAATTTTAAAACTAGATGAACATTAACGTTGTTTACAATTCTTTTTTTCTTTAGTAATGGAAACATTCAATGTGTTAGAAAATAAGTGGACAACTAGAGAAACAAAGTACCCAAAAAGTAGGGAGGGATATAAGACATCACTCATATCTGTAACAACTAGGGATAAAAAGAAGCTACTTTGACATTGATGATGAAAATAGAAATAGGTAGCTTACATATATTCCTATCTAAAGAACTCCAATTATAGGCTAATATATATATAAAACTAACCCAAAAATTGTACCCCCACCTTTATATTTATCTCAATAGATTCTTCTGTTTCATATGAATAATCAAGAAAGTTTTGAATGTATATAGTTTAATATGCCGTAACAGAAACACAATTCCTGAAAGAACCTTTGTAAATCTTGAAATTTGGCTTATTTTCGATTTATATATGCACAGACACACATTCACACRAATGTGTTAACTTTCCTTCTTACATTCTTGGGTAAATTAAAAGTAATCAAACAAGGGACGAAGAAAGAAACCTGTAAATGTAAATGAAAGCCTCTGGTATCATTCCTGCAATTGACCCACACAAATAGGGCCAAAACCTCATACTTGTTACCACAATCGCATAATTGAAAATAGTGTACGGAAATGGTGAAACCCTAAAGAGTGCAACAACTTGAAATTGACGAAACCAGCTCCCTTCCCCAGCAAGCCTGAGCATTTCTGCTTTTTGAGGCCATCTCATTAACCATTGCTGCACGATAAGGAATAAACAGAGATTATGGAACCAAATGACAAACTATAGCATGGGTCCAATTGATCTCCAGAATAAATTTTCTTCCTAAAATTGATAAAGATCTTACATGAATGCGGTCACGGAAGAATAATCCAATTAAATACGGCAGGACCATCCCAATAGTTGTTCCAACCATTATAATAACAAACCCAAGGCCATAGCCAAAAATCATCCCAGCCAACCACATTGAAGGGCCAGAGGGGATAAAAAATACAGGAAATAGTGCCAGAGAAGCAACAAGCGTAAGTGCAAGCATAGGTCGACCAAAGGCAGTAGCTTCCCACTGCATGATTGGGATAATGACCTGAAATGAACTCAGGGAGCAAAAATAGAGGTCAAATAAATCACAGGAATTAAAAACGTTAGAAATAGAGTAGATATTCAACATAACAGTCTTGAAACAAAACTTACTAAAAGCACCAAGGAAAAAATCATAGTATAGTCTAATTGACAGATGAACAAATTTATACGATATGTTTATTGGTCATTCATAATAATATACCACTTGGCTGTTATTTCCTTCTCTACATTAAATAGTTTGCCTTATCACATACTTTTCCTGCTGCATTTGCAATCAGAATAGTTTTTAAGTTCTAGGGACCTCTATAGAATAAGAATTGAAGTTCTCAACAGTCATACAAACAATAATCATGATGAGTTCCCATCTCAAGTACATTAATTCTGTGCCTACGAACAAAACTAAAAACTCTCTCCAATGGATAAAATCCTCTTTAACACTACACTATATGTAGATTTTACTGCACTCTTGGTTACTTTGTTATTCAAATCAGAATATGATTAATCCATATTCAAAGCCATTATTACATCAAACTTAGTTTCATAAGGCTGCAAGTATATCATACACTATGAGCAGCAGAAACGAAAAATCTTTGAAAAATAAATAACAGGCAAAGGTTAAATTTCCTGCAGTTCAACTAATGGGTAGGTTATAAACAGAAGAAATGGTGATGTAATTAATCAAATTACCTTCTCAAAAAGAAACGGCACTCCCCACTTGAAGAAAGCAAGAAGAAATACGATACTGATAATGCACCATAGTGAGACTTTGATCCACCACTTGAAGGATTTAATTTTTRATTTAGCTCTAGGCTGTAGAATCTCTGTTTCCAAAGGACTTGCTTCATTAGCTATGACTAGCCTTACACATTCATTATTCTCACTTCCTTCATGCCTGCTATTTGCATCATTACCCAGCTTTTCTGTTGATTTGTGCATGTCCATTGACAACCTGGAGGCCTATTATTCGTAAAGACAGAGCATAAGAAGCAATCTACAAAAGCATAATTCAGGATATATAAACGTATCACTTGAATTAACGTGTCGACCCATCACTTAAGTGATGACTTTCACCCAAAACTTCTCTCTAAAATCTCATCCTACCCTCTAATCAGCCCTACAAATTATACGGAGCAGCCATGACTAACATAAATATGTTTTAACTAACGATTCACAAAAACTATTGACAATAATATGGTTCACGAACATGATAGAGTTTGAAGCTATAACTTCCAACATCCACAGTTCATTTCACTGAAATGCTTATAATGAAGAGGAAGAATCTAGTTCCCAAGCATGCATGTTACTCAACAAATCAACGTCCCTCGATTCTGGAGAACGCAAGCGGCACACAGATGAAGAGCTGCAAGAAACCAAGATACTTCGATATTTATGACTGTACTCACAAATAGAGCAGCGTGACTTGCGATAGCGGTGGAATAGACAGACAAACATAGTCACGGAACAACGGAAAGGGTTCACAGAAAATGACCAACCACCCCCCAAGAAATTCTCCAAGCTCGGCGAAGCAGCAGAGTAATTACGATTTACGAGGCAAGGAAAGGCGAGCAAAACAAAACAAATCAAATCAAAACAACAACAACAACAACAACAATCAAGACACAGAAGAAACGGGCAAAAGGGAATCGCAAGCAGAAGACAGAAAGAAAACTAGGGTTTCCAGACATGATCGAAGCACAACCCATATAAAGCACAAGTCTCAAGAAACGAAGAAATTGGAAGAATTACCCAGAGCCACCAGATAAAGAACCGGAGCAGGATTGAGGAGACGATCAGCCGTAGACTTGKCCGGACCTCGAAAATGGCGCCGACCCACCGGCAGGGCCAGGAGAAAAGCAACAACAGTAACACACGGACACGGGGGYGGCTGCAATTGCTTTGCTTAGAAGAATGTCTTTCCTTGAAGAAATTCAAAGTTCAAAGTTCAAAGTTAACGACTGCGGGATATAAAATAGAATACGCAAATTTTGTATTGAGAGCAGAGCATCAATGGATTCCGTACCACCGTTTGAAGCTCTTCTGCGCAGTTCCATGGAAGATTCCCCACAAAAATAGAAATACCTTCCACTTCCACTCCCACTTTTCGTACAAAAAATTTTATATATTTATATATATATTTTTTTTTTGTTCACCCACGCTTTGAAGAAGGCCACWGATCTCTATTTCTTGTAATTTTTTTTCTTTTATTTTTTTTTCTGGTAGCAAGAAAATTAGTGGCTTGGCTTCCAGCTACTTGAATGAAGTGTTCTGAAAATTAATTAACTGCTTTTTTTTAAATAAAATTTTGTATTTTAAATTTTCATTTGGGTCCCGCATTTTTWAAATTTTGAACGTACAATAATCTTAATTTTGTAAGTTGCTTTAAAMTAATTTTAAAAACATAATAGAAACTTTTGTTGAGATCAAGGGATAAATATTCAAACAGCCCCTTTATTTCATTTTATATAATTTCACTCTGGAGGTAAATACTAAAAATAATTTCATGTTTTTTAAAACAAATTTAACAAAATTTTAAACGTGATTAAACTCTAATAAACCCAAAAGTTTAAGCGGATGGATTTTGATAAATTTAATCATTTATTAGAATTTGAGTTCACGTAGTGTCTTTTATTTGTGCCACGTCCTTTCGAAAATAACAAATAATTAATTAATTCAACATAATTATATATATGCACTTTTTTTGTGGTAGTATTTACTCTTTTTTGTTTGGTGGGGAGAAGTGAGGATGTAATGAAAAAAAAAAAAAAGAAAATTCAAATAATTATGGTTGGTGGTAAAGTCAAGAGTGGATATCCAAACAATAGGTTTATTGTGGTGTTCCTAATTTATACTTCATCTGAATTTGTGCAGGTTTTTTATTTTTTTATTTTTTATTTTGGATAAGTTGTTTATTAAATTTTTTAATGAAGTTCCAAAGTTTTGTCTACACAATTTAGTATCAATTTTAGGTAAGCGTTGATTGTGCGAGTTTAATTCCATAATTGTTTTGACAAATTATTTGGATAATATCATGGTTTAAAATTTTTGATTTAATAGGAATTTGTTTGACTTGTTGATTTATTGTGATAATTTTTAATTCTGCTTTTCAAATTTGTCATGATGTTTGATTATTTGGCTAAAAAGGAATTTTAAAATTATGTGAGATTGGGGGATATCATCATGTTTTAAGTTAGTTGAGATAATCATTAATTACCGACGTTTTTTACTAAAAAAAATTTATGAAATTGGAATAACAAAACCTATTAGGTTGCCTGKTAAAACTAGAATCGAAATAGAAATCAAATATATAACCATTACTATCTTATTTGTTTTCTATTTCTAGTTAATTACAAATACATTAATTAATATTATGTTTAATTAAAACAACAAATTCAAATTATATTTTATTATTGATGGTAARTATTTTTTATTGTAACGATTTACTTAATATTAACRAATAATAAATAATTTAAACAAAATTAGATCAACTAAGAACGAAAATTTTATTATTATAATATTTAATAATAATGAATTCTATTTTAACGATTGTATTATATTAATTAATAATAACAAAGTAAAATTGAATAGAAATTCCATAATATTTCATATAATAAAATTGAAAGAATTAATAAAAGTTGTATCCTTTTGTATTAGAWGAAAATTTTCTAGTACCATAAAATAAATAAACAGAGTAAAATTGTAAAACAATTAACAAATTATATATTTTGTTAATAAATGAGACAGTAATTATGATATCCGTTTAATAAGAGATGAGATTGGTTAAGTTTTAAGAAATAAATTAAATTATCCCTTTTTAAAACGAGTAATTCACAAGTTTAAGGTGGTCCCGCAGTGCCATAACAAACAATTTGTCTTTTTTTTTTCTTTTTTTTGAAACAATAACAAACAATTTGTTGATGTTTAAAAGTGGGGTGGTGGATTTTATTTAATAAATTAATATACGACTTTCATTTGTGACCAAGGAATGCTTGGAAATTCAAGAAATCAAAATCTTATTTTATTTGTAATCCAAACTTTGAACCCTTCAAATACAAATCATTCTCACCAAATTTAAATTAAAAATCAACCGAAAGTTTCAATAATACACATCATTGCAGCCAAAGCTTATTCATAACATACTTGAATATCTTCTCTGTATCGTTCCAAATAAATATAATTATAATTTCAAAACATCCGTAAATGAATAAAAACAATGTATAAGAAAATTATCAAACCGAGACCTAAATTTATTTATATTTTATTTTATTCATACGACGATATATTTAACTAATTTTCATTTCATAAAAGAACAATTGGAGAAATTATTACATCATAACTATTTATGTCTGTCCACATGAACATAGTTCCGTAATTTGACATCTACTCCTTTCCATGAGGTCGGATACCCTAACTAATTTGCTGTACTCAAACTCAAAAAAGGGGGGAAAACTCTGACTAATTGGCTTATAAATAAATCAATTATATTAACCAAAATGAAATAAGATTAAGTGACTCGGCTGACAAAAATCTATAAATGCACTATTGTTGCTTAAGAAGATAATATAGTTGGTTGGGCGAATAGAAATTATGACATAAAACTATTAAACAAATGTCTTTAGCAGGATTATGCATTTCAAAAATTAAAATTAGAGATGAATATTCGAAATGTACACTGAAGCCTTAATTCTTTCTACTCTTTTTTGGATTTTGAGAGAGCTTTTGACCTCTGAACAAGCATGTAGCTATACATGTGAGGACTTCCTGCAGCAGACAATGTTTGTACAGTTATCAAAGGAATCAAAGACAAAAGGAAAAAACCGTAGCAAGTGAAGAACTTGAACCACTCGAACCTGGAGCATAGACTACGAGGATAAGAATCGCTGCGTAGAAGTAATCGAAAGAGAAGTTCCATTTGTTTGGCATCCTAAAGCAGTACTTCCCAGATTCCTGAAAGCAACTCAATATAATCATTTTCAGCAGTCAAGATGATGGCGAACTTCCTAATACAACTATGCAATATCGCTATACTTCAACACGGCATGGCGAAGGTGGGTTCAGTCTTTCGGGATTGAACTTGTAATAGTGAATCATGTCATCGTTTGTGTTGTATAACATGGGATTTCTTACCTTCATGTAAGGAAGAGCCAGATAGATCAGACCAACTTCGCTGGTGATGCCAGTTGCATACAGCAACAGGAAGGTACTATACCTACATGACATGAATGAGAACATTTTTAATGCCACATGTGGAGGAACATGGCGAATTGTACCCCGGTTCGCTTAGTGAAGGAGAGTTGGTACCTTAGCCATAGGAGCCATGAAGGTGCAAAACCAAAGGCCTCCTTCATGCCATAAAATGAATAGCGGATAATCTGCAATCATAGATTGGCAAAAAGAATCAATCGCAGAGCAATTTCTCCCTTTTTACTGTGCCATTCAACTTTGGGAGGGAAAGATAGAGAAACCAGAAGACAGAATTTATCCACCAAAGTTTGCATATGAACACAAAGTGATTACTTTTTAATTATGATACATGGTATATCTTGAACACCGTAAGGCCTCATTAATTTTGAGATAAATTTTGAGAGTTATGTCCTTAAAAGTGAGACTCTTTCTGTAAATACTTTTAGAAAATCACTGGTTAAGTACTTCTATAGGTTATTTTGAATTACTCTCGAGCGTCTCTTAGAATTTTCAAAAGTATTAGTTAAACATCATGATAAATTTGAAAAGTTTTTTTAAAATTAGTTTAAAGCAATTTTAACTATTCTAAAAGTCATGGCAAACTGACTCTAAATCTCTTAGTTCTTGTCTCACAGAATACACGAATGGCACACTTAAAAGTAAAAAAGCTGCTACCGATATACAAAATACCTTAAAGAATAAAAACACAGCACAAATCATCAACCATCTGATTAAAGCATAAAGTTCTTTTATAACAAGCAGAGACAATATATTCAAAAACCAGGACAACCAAGAGAAGACAACTTAAATGCAGAGGGTAGAGAAAACCCTCCTCAAAGAACTATACACTAACAGCTTTCCAATCATGTTTAATCAATGTAAACTATAATTACAAAATCCTTCTTGTGGATTGTAGGCCCCAAGAAGCGATTAAAGCATAAAGTTGATATGCATAATTTACTTTTAAAAAACAAAGAAATCTTGAACACAGCTCTAACCGTTTGTCAAACTCTATAATCAATAACTACTTAAAAAGTAGGTGAATAGATAAAAAGTTTGGAATCAAAGTTTCCAATTAAAGAAAGGAGAGGAGCTGGAGTCTTGATTACTTGCCTCTGTGATAGACCAGCTGATGACCAAGGAGCTAACAAGTACATGATTCCGAACCTGCCACACCCAAGCAGCAACCAGTTTATTAATTCACGTTACAGCACAAACACTATTTTATGGTTAATTGAAATAACAAGAAAGTTTTTGACCTCAGGGAAACTCCATAAGATGCCCCAAGTCACATACAATCTTGAACCAATCTGTGGTAATGTAGCTGTTACTGGAGATCTCACCAGACCTAATTGAACCAGAATTCAACTTCCTTCTTAAGGCAAAAACAGGGCAAGAAAATCTTCTTCAACAGAAGTTTTAAACGAAACATCAAATATTGCTCACCTACGAGGCCATGGAGAATCTGTCAAACAGAAAATAAGAAGTAATTACAAAGGACTTCATCTTAAGCTCCATCGTGATAGTCAGCTCATATTAAAGTATTTGGAAAACAGCTCAAGTCTAGCATTCATCTTCCGAACAGATTACAGCGAAATAAGGAAATACCTCCAGAACAGCGGCGGTTTGAGCAAGCTGAAGAGGGCATTCGACGGCATTATAAACCTGTTCGTGACCAGATTCCTTCAATTGCTTAACGGAGAAATAGAACACCTGAACCCTGAACACGCGTGCAAAAAAGAGTTCACACAATCCGATAGATCCAAAGAGAAGTGATTGCGAAGAGGGGGAAGAAATTACCATCCAACGAAGAGAGTCCAGTTGTAAATGGTGAGGTAGAGGCGCCTAACAGTTGACAACAATCCCGCCATTGATGGAGAAATGAGAGGATGGATGAAGATCTGGGGAAGCTTGAAGCTTATATGAAGAAGAGAAGTGGGGAAAGCGGGCACATAATTAAGGAGTATTTAGGTGGGCGGCTCAACTACCTTCTTGCTTATGGCTTTAATGGCGGTCTCAGATCAGATCGCCCCGCTCAAATTTGATCCAGGCTGAGGGGAGGTTCAATTTTGTTATCTCATCACAAAATTAATAGAAATTAATGATTTAATAGTGATTGTTGAATTTAATGTTTTTATCTTTGTATTTATCATTAAGTTGAACTTTTTTTTTTAGAAATTTATTAAGTTAAAACTATTAATTAGTCCGCTTCGATTTCAATTTGATTCATTTATGGGGTATAGTTTTTATTTTTTTAAAATACAATAACGGAGTGGAGATTTGAAGACTGACTTTTTAAATAAGCTATTTTAGGTTGTTTTAAAAATTTTCAACTAAAAATAATTTAACCTAACTATTATTGCATTTATTTTATTGTATGCTTTGATTTATTTGGTTGGTTGAAAATTATGTCTTAAAATTTGTTGCTTGTTATGTTCGTTCTTCTCCTCTGGAAGTCCTCTTGAAGAGAAACTCTTTGAAAACGCATTGAATAGGAACTACGTTGGTCAATTTTGAATTAGGTGATGTTTGATAATTATTTAATTTTTAACTTTTTGTTTAAAAAATTGTGCTGGTTATTGTACAATTTTGTTAACAAGTTTTTCACCTAAATAATATTTAAATTCTTAACTAAATTTTTAAAATTAAAAAAAAAAACCAATTTTTGAAAACTCTTTGAGAAAATGTAACAAATACCCATTTTAATCTCTATTTTATATTAGTCACTAAATTTGATTGGTATAGTATTTCAATTTGCAACATGAACACAGAATTCTGTAAAATAACTACATACTCTGAGAATTTCGTTCATTATAATTTATATGCAAAATTTCCAGTATCCTCTTGAAGAAAATTCATATTCTTCTACAATAGGAATTGATCCAATCCAGCAAATCCTTTCCTGGTACAAATTTATATTTCAGAATACAAGTTTTCTGCACAAAATGGAAGCTCTCCTATTGCTATGGAAACCTCTTCAAAGTGAAAATGGTTACCAATGGATGTATTTGAGTCATCTTCAACCCAGCGAAGCCAAAGGGTTGCCATCAACAGCACCAGCTCCCGAAACCAATCAGTATTTTGTTTCACGACTCACTGCTGCAACTGCAAGAGTTGAAACGACACAAATGTACGTTCCCCCGCCCTACAGTCATGGAACTGTACTTGATGCGGCATATATAGAACSCGGCTTCACAGGGCCATGCTGCGCATTTTACAGTTGAAAAAGTTGCTTATCAACCGAGCAATCTGAATGCACTGCATCAACTAGTCTCACTAGTCACTATTCACTTGGAGGTGGAGTCTGATCTTTCGTATCCTTATCCGGAGTTGTTGCCCCATTCGTTCCATTCCCGTTCCAGCGTGCAGCCAAATCTTTCACGGTTTCAGGGGAAGAAGGCATGTCCTCCTCAATAGGAAGGGTTCTCTTAGAGCCATCCAAAGCAACACCAAGAATTAAGTTCTCTTCAACACCAGGCTTCAATGTTGATGGCTTTAAAACTGGCGTCTGTTCACCTTCTATCCTTGGCTGTGAAGTAGCTGAACTTCCCCCTGTTTTCTTAACATCTTCCGGCAAGGAAACAGCTGGATGGTTAGACTTGTAGTTCTGCTTGGTACTTCCCGAGCCATTTTCAGATTGCTTCGTACTAGGATCCTCAAATGAATTATCAGTGTCTGATCTAGTTGTTTTGGCATCAGAACTAGGCATACCAGAGATACCGTTTGTACTCGATGCAGATCTTGATGATGACTTATGTTTTGATTCATTACTTGAATTATCATCAGACATCGACGTTGGAACTTTGGGATGCTTTTTTGTATCAGAGTCTTTTTCTTCTCCAGTCCTGACTTCTGTCTTTCTGTCAGATGGTGTTGCCTCTTTGGCTGCCTTGCTGTCACCCGAAGACCGTGCAATGGGCTTACCATTTTGTTCTCCAGTTGTGCGAGACGTCCTACTGTGGCTTTGTTTTCTATCTTCTCCATAGACTTTGTATGGGGGTTCGATCATTAGCATGCGGCGATTCAAATTCACACCACCACGACCAAATATTGAATCAGAAAATGGAACACTTTCCAAGTCCGAATCACTATGCATCTTCTGCATTGTGCGGATTGGTGTGGCGAGGCGAGCCCGGTGATGTCTAATGACTCTAAGTAGATCCAAGATTATAGCTTCCTGATTTCACCAACTAGCAAGTTAGTTTAAAATTTAAAAAAATGAAAAAATAGGTTCAAAATCCAAAACGTACTCAGACGAGCTTCAGACAAAATGGATTAAATTATTGGAACTTCTTTAATTGAAAGTTGAAAGAATGAGAAGTAAACAAAAAAGAAAATTATAATGAGTAATAAAGCAAACCAAGAAGGTTGTTTTACCTTCACACAAAGGTATTCTTCAAAGTGTGAAGTCTTGACAAAACAGGATATCAAAATCTAGCAAAACAAAAAAGCACAAAAATCAGTTAGGAAACATGAGAGAGCCCCTTGCAATTTGGTGTAAACAAACAAAGATTTATGACGTTATCTAAAAACAATGCAGTTTGTCTTGACAGAGAATAAGTCGAATGATTAAATCACCCAATATAATAACTTTGGGATAAATCGAGATTTAAAATTGTCTCAATACTTGAGAATTTGAATTTTAAAATCGCCCTACCTATTATATATATATATATATATATATATCTTTCGAGATGCTTGCAAGCCGCCCAGACCAAAAAAAAAAAAACCATCCTTTCAATCATAGTTATTCCACCACACAATGTAAGCCAAGCACACCCATGGATGCAGCGACCAATTTCATAATACCAACACTTTGTTCAACTCTTATTCAAGTAGGCAAAATTTGTCAAACGAATATGCTAAATTTGCAACATTTTAGTGTGCTTTTGGCATTTTAGTTGAGGAGTATATTTAAGTTATTCAACTTCGAGACAAAATTGAAAACTTCAGGAATAAAAAATCATATTTATGTCAAAATGTTTAATACCGACCAAAAGTGCCTGGTTTTCAGGATTCACGTTCTCCAAAAATACTCTTCTATGCAACCTCTGTTGTTCAACTTGAGGGTTCTTCGCCAAGACTTTCCGCATGTCAGCGACAATATTCTGCAGAGAGATAAACATACATTTGTCATACATGTGTCTATATATACACATATATACATATAAATATTCAAAATAAAATAACGCTCCCTTACCCAACTGAAAAGAAATAAATAAAATAACGCTCACATTGATTTTATTGACGTCCAAATGGCTGATGGCTAGGTGGGTTTTAATACGCCAGTGAGTTTTTTGACTCAGATTTCTAACCACGTTAATGGTAAACTGATGGTTTGGTATGTGAACTGCTTCACGATCTTCACCTCTAATAATTGTTGGCGACCACCATCCTACATGCTGCAGTTGATAGAAACGATATTGAATGTCTATTGCATTCATATAAGATGTTTCTAACGACATTAAAACTTCTAAAGGTGCATGGTTCAACACAAACATACAAACCTCAACCGTGCCAGAAACTTCATAGCCCTCAATCTTTGTTTGAATCCATTCATTGACTATGAAAGGACGAGTTGCATGGATCATCACACTTGAAAGGAAGTTTGTGAATATCTAGTAGGTACAGTGAGATAAAATCTATAATTAGTAAAAAAAATTGGAAGGAACAGAGAACACAACCCATAATAATCGAAAATGTACTTCACGGCCAGCTAGTGTCAGCAACACAGTCCCAAGACCTCCAGCTGTAAGCCATTTTTGGGTAGAAAAGCCCAAGAGCTCCATGAACAGTGAGACAGCAGCAACCCATACTGCAGAGTATACGGCCTTCCAAGCAAATTGAAAGCCCATCTGCATAGGCATAGAACTTATATTCACACTTCCATGGTTTTTAATAAATCATGAAACAAGAATTCCTGTGAGAATCACATCTTGAAGGATACAAACCCATTTAAAATGATATTTAAAGCAAAATTGAAATGAAAGATATTAACTCCATATATTGCGTGTACTTTAAGTTCGTAAATTCAGGAATTCATAGCTGTTTGACCAATCTCTTTCTGATACTGGACGCCACTCAAATTGTCTTCAAGGCAATGGTAAGGAATATAGCCATGTACAAAATATAGCTTTTGCTGAATTGCATCGTCCAAGAAACATTGACACGATAATTAAAGGTGTGTTGCTTTAAATATAATGTGAAATACCATACAACACAGAGCTTACAACAAAAGACAGCTGGTTTGACACTATAAGATGATCTTCACATAAGTATGTTTATCAACCAACAGAAACTTGATAACATGATATATATTAAGCGTAGATTACAATTGTGATGGCATACTGTACATACATTTCTTGCGTCACTGGATTCGGTGGTCTCTGAGAAGAACTTCTGAGCTTGTTCAATCATACTACACCAGAAGAAAAAATGGGAAAAGAAGAAGAAAAATAGACCAAAAAAAGGCAAGGGTTAATCAAATTGAATCTTTTTCATAAGCAAAAAGCCTCGAGTAAGGGTAACATATCATTGCTAGCTAGATTCAGGTCATTTTCTGTTCATGGCAATAGCAGATTTCTTCACTCTATAGGTCAAAACTCATTAAACATTTCAAACAGCAAGGTCTCAAACTCTCACCTTGATAAGCAATACGCAAAGGCCAGCACCGTGGACAACGACCTAACAAAATTTAATATACGTTGCTTCACAACTTGGCTAGGCTTTGTAGGTAAAACTACTGGATCCAAAGCTCTGCAAAAGCAAGACCAGGACCATTATACTACACTAGTCAGAGAAGAACTATTTTTAAAAGAGGGACTGAGAAGATAAGTCTATGTCTCAACATATAAAATACTATATTTCAAGGACCTGCAAATAAGTGCAACTCCAGCCCATAGCAATAATGGTTGAAGATACAAGGTCATGACTTTATACGTGCGACTTTTTTTCCAGTTATTATCGCTCCCCTGCAAGTCAATTATCGAACAATATTAAAACAATAGAATACAATTAAAGAGGAGAATGAGCAAGTGCAATGCAACATAAGAAACAAAAGTTGAGTCAACATACATGGAGGAGTAGGCTTCTAGTATAACGCAAAAATGGTCCAAGACCCCATACAGCAAACATGATAATACAAACTGCAGGAACCAACTTAATCACTGGAGGAGGACAACCACCTAATACATTACAAAACCTGCGTTATATGATCAAATGTGAAGAACCAGTTGGGCTCAAATATTATCAATTTCAATTTTTAATCTCGTGTGGAAACGAAAAATGAAAAATCTTAGAGATGCATGGATGTTTTGCCACGATGGAAACATTATCGATCACTCAAAGATGGAGGGTGCATTTTAATTAATTTCAAGAGTCTATAAGGCAGATTTTAAGAAATAACATATCGTTTAAGATTAAGCTAAATATATACCTTTATGGCTAAGTCCCAATGTTTGTGTTGCTTTTCAATTTAATCCCTAGCTTAAAATTCCAATTTCATCCTTTATAAGATAAGGTTTTTCAATCAAGTCCTTACTCCTTACTATCTCACTAAACATTAAAATCTAGGTTTAACATAAAAATATATTATATATTTATATTAATTAAGTTGGAATCACCCTACGCTTTAAGTTAATTGGTTGAACATGCCCCACATAAAAAGGATAATATTCAAACTTTTCTAGAACATTAAGGAAGAAATGGATAAATGGCACATACATTAGGGGACAAGTTTTTTATTTTTATAAGAGACAAGTCTTGTATTATCAAAAGAAGGAAGGGCAGCCTAAGGTACATTAGGGGACAAAATTGCATACTTAGCCTTAAGATTATATATACATAAATATCTCTTATTAATTTGAAAAAATACTTGAACTAGTAAGAAAATTGGTATTTAGTCAAACCAACAACACTGCAACAGCTATAGCGTACGAATCATTGCAATTATTATATCCATAACGAACGCCATGTAAGGACTGAAGTCCTCAAGATTAATTTCACCAGTTGAAAAATATGAGGTTAAACTACAATTTGTTCCCTAAACTATTGGCTATTTTCTATTTTAGTTTTTATGATACAAGCACACAAGTTTCTAGCTTTTAATCAAATCTCCATGTTAGTCCCAACCATCAACTGTGCTAGCATGTTTTAACGAAGCTAAGATGGCTCAACTAATTGCTTACTTTGAAACAAGCGTGGTTGGCTACCTGTGCATTAAAATTTACTCCTAAAAGGAATACATAGTTCATAACACGAGGTCCTAGATAAAGCTCAAATTGAGTCTTGGATGTTGATTGATTTCAAGCACAACTTGACTTTATAGTCATGTCCCAATTAAAAAAATTAGAAACTGACACTAGACGTAAAGGAGAAACATCTAGCTAGGATGACAAGGAACTCAATCTTGTAATGGATGAAGACGGCCACCAAAATTGTCAGCAAGACCAAGATTCAGGATGAAGACATATGTGAGAAATGCAACCAGAAGTCATTTATCAAAACCAGGGATGAGAGACTTAATCAAGTATTTTTAGAAAAGTACTCCTGAACCAAAACCCACAATTCTAGTGTTTTCTCAAAGTTCCAGAATTGTCCTTCGTTCAACTTGTCTCAAATGACATCCAACATCATCCATGTATGCAATGATATGTCCATCTTAAGTTCTAATGAAATTTTACCTACTTTTATTGATGCAAAAACCTACAAAGATGTTTTGTAACTGGGGACTAACTGGAACATTTTGAAATGGTATACAAGTGAACCAATATTTGGGAATAAAAAATTATACTAACGTAAAATTTATCAAGATGGCGTGATTTTTTTTATAAGGTTTGTAGTAGCTTTGGTGTCAATAGTGGAGCTAACAGGTAACATATCAGAATTGTGAAAGGGATGGAGAGAATATCGTTGATCTTCACTGTGAATGTGATTATGTGAGAACAATCTTATATAAGTCAATGCTGGGAAGATTTTGGGGCATTCATACATGAAACCAGACAAATACTGACCTTGTCAAAGCCACTACAGCTGCCTTAATCCCAGGAGGATCCAGTGGTTGGTCTGTCATCAATGACGAGTGGCACCTAAATACATTGTATCTAAAAGGTACAGTGTAATTAGGTGAGTACTTCATGCTAAATAAATGAGTGCTCCAAGTGTTCTTCTGCTGAAACTGCAATAAGAAATATTTTCAAGTATTTACAAGGCAAGAATTTCATATGCAGCCAATGCTCAAATAGCCAGGCTTACACAAAATATACACACCCAAATACACATGGAAAGCATCCAAACCCATTTTGATATAAGGGACACATTCTTGCTGACCTCCAAGGACAACAGTTTTTTTTTTAAGTTCTGGTTTCAAAAGAATAGTAATAAA